TTTTAGAATGCTGAGAGAGAGAGAGAGAGAGAGAGAGAGAGAGAGAGAGAGAGAGAGAGAGAGAGAGAGAGAGAGAGAGAGCTAAGGTCAGGCCTTGATTTGTTTTGGAATGCTGTCAATCAGTTTGTAAATGAAGCTGTTCGGGACATGCATTGAAGTTGGCAACACAAGAGGAAAAGAGAAAGAACAAAGTGTAATATGATACTAATATCTTATTTGCAGAAAGTTTTTACACAAAATAAGTGTGTTTGCAGCATGCAGATGTTTTATAGAGTTGATTGGAAGAATATGTACCGCCCGCTCCTTCATTGTCAGAGTCTTCCGGCTCCTCTTGAATGTTCTCAGTTGGGCTTCTTGTGCTTCGCGGAAACGGGTTCCACTGTAGAAAGCAGACTCCTTGCCGACATGTTCCTGCTTTCAGAAAGAAAATCGGGAAGTCAGGGAGGGAGGCGTGCAGGGAGGACGGAAGAAAGAGAAGGAAGAAGGAAGAAGGAGAAGGAAGGAGGAAGGAAGAAGGAGAAGGAAGGAGGAAGGAAGGAAGCAAGGACAAACGGACGGAGGACTTGAGGGGGGCATGGGGGGATGGAGAGGGAGTGAGAAGGAGAGAGGGAGGGGGGGTAGCAAGGTAGCAGCTGAGGGAGGGAGGGAGGGAGGGAGGGAGGGAAGGAAGGAGCGAAGCAGAGTGCGAGGGAGGAGAGGAGGGAGGGAGGAGAGGGGAAAGTAAGGAACAGAGAGAGAGAGGGCAGGAGAGAGGAAGGGATCAGATAAAGGGAGAGAGGAAGGAAGGGAAGGCGGTGGGCAGGACGAAGGGAAGAATCATTCAAAAATGTTAAGAGGAGAGTGGAAGGAGGAGAGGAAGAAGGAAGGGGAAGCGGGAGAGCTTGGGAGAAGGGAGGGATGGAGAGAGTAAGCAAGGAAAGGAGTGAGAAGGGATGATAAGGGAGAAGCGAGGGAAGAAAAGACGAGAACTGAGGAAGGAGAGAGGGAGGGAAGAAGGCAGGGACGAAGGGAGGAAGAGAGGAAAGCAAGCATGGAGAAGAGGAGGGACGGATGCAGGGAGGGAGGGAGGGAGGGAGTAAAGAAGCAAAGAGAGAGGGAAGGGAGGAAGACGAATGGAGGAAGATCTGAAGGAAGTTAAGGAAGGGAGGGAGGGAGGGAGGGAAGGAGGGAGGGAGAAAGGGAGCAAAGCAAAGAGAGAGGGAAGGGAGGTAGACGAATGGACGAAGATCTGAAGGAAGTTAAGGAAGGGAGGGAGGAAGGGAGGGAGGGAAGGAGGGAGGAAGGGAGGAAGGGAGCAAGGGGAGGGAGGGAAGGAGGGAGGGAGGAAGGGAGCAAGGGGAGGAGGGAGGGAGTAACGACTCAAGACGAAGGGAAGGGAGGGAGTGTGTAGCATATCAGAAAGTGAAATGCACTAACAGCCTAGGATCTAGCAATGATGAAAGTGGCAACAACCAGCAGCATAGATGCAACATTTACCAGATGTCAATGTGCACAATGCAACAAGTAAACCAATGAGAAAACAACAACAACAACACATTTGCATCATCATTATCATGGGCTGGGGAACAGCGCAGCGGAATAATAGTAACCAAGAGGACACGTGGACAACAACAGGAAAGGGAGGAACTTCGGAAGGGCAGGACATTAGGAAGATTGCCCTTCCGCTCACTCACATAGGGAGAGACCCATAGACATGCGAGAGAGAAGGGGGGAGGGACATA